GTTGAACAGTCTGCTGTGATTCTGATGGGCTTTCCTTTGTATGTGATTTATTTCTTTTCTCTAACTGCTTGTAGAACTTTGTTCTTCTGTTGGGAGTCTGGAATCTTAACAATTATATGCCTATGTGTAGATTTTGTTTCGTTCAAGGCTATTTGGAGTTCTATATGTCTCACTTATCTGTATGTCAAGTTCTTTTCCCCTGCTTGGGAAGTTTTCTGCCATTACTTCTGTGAACAATTTTTTTTATGTCATTTGCACTCTCTCCTGTTTCTTCATTGCCTCAAATTAATGTTATGTTATTCTTTGCTGCATTGTGTAGCAGCTGCTGCATTGATTTCTCATGTTCCCTTACAATTTTACAGCAATTTTTTTTCCTGGTCACTAATTGCAATCTTATCTTCTATATCTGAAATTCTATTCTCACATTGGCTCATTCTTCTGCATAGACTTTCAATGGAGTTTTTAATCTCCTGGAAATCTGTTTGCATCTGTTTTTTGAATTCCATTTGTTTCCTATGTTGGGATTCCATCATGTTCCTCGGCTCCTCTCTAGATTTATTAATTATGTCTTACACTATGGGCACAATCACTGCTGTTATCTGAGAAATTATTTCTGATTTCATTTTTTCCAGATCCTCTTTTGTTTCCAGTTCAGGGAGTCCAGGTGGTTGATTATCAGAGTGTTCCATCTCGTTTCCCTTTGGGGTTGCTGTATGTGATCTGGAAGTCTGGTTTTGAGGCTTGTTTACATGTCTTCTCATTTCCATGGGGTGGGAGATGCTCACCTCCTCTGCACTTGGAGCAGTGGTATGTTGGCCCAGAAGCCTCCTCCTTTGCTTTGGGAGTGGTGGCATGTTGATCTGGAAGCCTTTTCCTCTCTATCCTTATAAACTTGATCATAAGACAAAGGCTGTTTTTATGATATCAGTAATAACTCTTTGAAATACAGACAAAACCATTCTATTTTCTGCTCAAAATTAAGCAACCATCAAATATTACCCATACCATATCCTTATCTTAAATTGCTTGTGAATGATTTAAAATCCTGCAGCAAAGGGGACAAGGCACAGCAGACACACTGGCTTTGATTTCTCCTTGGGGGATCTGAGAGGAGGTAATGGCACAGCTGCCTGTGCCATGAGCCCTCCTTCCCTCTGCTCTCTGACAGTGGTGACCAGGAGCACCCCCAGAGCATCGATCTCACACTGCACATAGAGTGTCCCCAACAGCTTCCCGAGCTGTGACAAAGATGCCATTCTGTACATGTTGGGCCAATCTTTTCAGGAAAATGTAAACTTAACTTTTTCCAACTTACCCATGGAAATAGACATAGTAGATGAGAAAATTACAAGAAAAAGAAAAAGAATCTTATGCATGGGAAACAGCATTGGAAGACCTCCCTCCCATTTGGTGGCTGTCATGGGTCCCCGGGTTTGGGCTGCCCCCTCCTCTGGGGGTGCAGGCAGCAGCTCACAGGAAGAACTGCTCCCATTGCTGGAAATGCCCCAATTTCCTGGGCCTGTGGCTGCTCCTTTGGGTGGGACCTGCCCTGTCAAAGCTTCCTGTATGACTCGTGCTTTGGTCACAGGCTCTGGTTTCCCCATTTCCCAGTTTAGAAATGGTGTCCAGGCAAGGGCTCAGACTCTCTGTGTCCTCCATGCTGGTGACAGAAGGAAGACGCTGAGGTGTTCCAGTGACCAGTGAGGACCATGCTCCCTTGGGGATTGGTGTTTCTTTGGCTTGTGGCCAGAGAGAGGATCACAAGCTTGAATGAGGCAGGTAGGATTCTTGCTTCTTGCTTTCACATTCAGGTTGGTGGTAAGGCCCCAAACTGACAGATGATCTGACATATTTACACACAGCACTTCCTTCCTATGGTTAGCAGGGCAATGGGGGAGACTGGTAGCTTGAACACCTTTCAGGTAACACTCAGCATGGATGGAACCCAGCCCATGTTGCCAGGTGTCTGTGGGGCTATGAAAGAGGACCTTGGAACAGCTCAGGAAGCCAGGGTCCCAGCGATGCTGCAACCTCCTGGGAGGGAGTTGGAACATAAGCTTACCTTCTCTAAACAATGGACTTAGTAAGGAAGACAGACACACATGCAGCTTCATCTTTTACACACAATGCTACTTGTGCATATGAATATGATTTCCATCTTCTGATGTGTTTCTGTGTTGCTTTTTTATTGTGGTTGTCAGGCTGTTCCACAAAAAAACTCCTTTGGACATATTCCCCAGGAAAGGAAGAAGAATTTGTCTTATTTTGTGATTTCCCAGAGCCACGGAGAAACCATTTCTCCCACAAAAGTCCACACAGCCCAACACCGAGCCCTGGATCCCTGCCCTGCAGTGGTAGTGAGGACCTCACTGATGTCCAGTGGTACCGACAGCGTGGGGACCAGGGTCCAGTGGAGGAGATTGCTGGTGGCCACCTTCACATGGCTCAGAATAAGAACACACTTCGCTTCAGTGCCCCAGAGATGACAGAGGCTGGCACATACATCTGTAAACCCAGGATCAGGTCTGTCCCAGATGCATGCCTATCTGCAAGCAATCCCCAGTGCTCTATGATCTTGGGAAATACCTATGTTCACAGGACCCTTTACTCTTCTAGGAGTGCCCAGGATGGGGCTTGCTGTGCCAAGATAGTCCTGGAGGTGAGGCCACAGACAGCAGCACCTTGCAGCACCTCTGCACCCCATAAGCAATACCTGATTCTCGGGACTGTTGGCTCCATTCACTGTCCCCGTCTCAGCTGCCAAGGGGATGCACACAGGCCAGAGGTGACCTGGTACCAGGTAAGAATGAAGTATCTGAAATTCATGCAAGGGTGCTATTCTTCATGGCAACATCTCTGAAGGTGCTTTGTGGAAATGTGAGTTTGAGGCTCTGATATCAGAGCCACCCAGAGGCTGGCCCTGGGCCTGTGTGGGGACCTGATGTTCTGGATGAGTCTTGCCCCAAGGTGTTAGGGTTATTAGAGTCACCCTTCTGATCAATGCCAAGAAATTTTCCAATATTCATGTATATTTGTGACACATAGGATGAGATGTGCATAGGATTAAGCTTGCAGATGTGGGCTACTGCAGAAGCACAGGGGAGCTCATATCACTGCTGCCAGAAGCCGGGCATCGCCAAGGGTCAGGGTACCCTAAGAAGGCGTCTTCAAGAGACTGGAGCCAGGTATGGTGGAGCACACCTGTTATTCCAGCACTCAAGAGGCTGAGGCTGGAGGATCGCTGAGAGTTTGAGGCTAGCCTAAGCTACATAGTGAGACCCTGACTCACAAAAACCAAAACCAAAAAGAAAAAGACAGAAAGATAGAAAGACATAGAAAGGAAGGAAGGAAGGAAGCAAGCAAGCAAGCAAGCAAGCAAGCAAGAAAGAAAGAAAGAAAGAAAGAAAGAAAGAAAGAAAGAAAGAAAGAAAGAAAGAAAAAGTAAAAGCACCTTTGCCAGCAGAGAATCTGGGAATAGATTCTAAGTGTCCTCCACAATCTCCATAACTGAAGTCCAATCTTTTGCCTTAAACAATCATGCAAAATTTTGAATTTGACTTTATAATGTGCATGTTTGGTAATATAAAAATATTATCTTGAATTTCCACTGATGGTAGTCAAACATGTGGGCCACATGTCTTGTGGTTTTGTGCACCCTGAAACTCAGCAGAGAGAGACTACTGGGCACAGTACATGGCTTAAGACATCAGCTCACTTGATTCTTTGCTTTGGTTTTTGGGGACAATGTCTCACTATGTAGTTCATGCTGGTCTTGAACTCACTTTGTAGCCCAGGCTGGCCTCAAACTCAGTGATTCTTCTGCCTCAGCCTCCTGAGCGCTAGAATTACAGACATGTGCCTGCTCTCTGGCTGGCTCACTTGGTTCTTGTGACTCTGTGCTGAGAGATGGACAGATGTGATCATACTTGTTGCAGAATAGAGAGCAAATGATGTGGCATCTAGCCTGACATTTGTGTTTTAAAATGAGACAACGAATGATCACCACAGTAGAATTCCAATTTTAGCAAACACAATAATGTCGTAACTTCAAAAAAGGTGGTTAGTGAGAAATGCTAATAGTTTTTTGTGATGTTTTCAGTTCTCTTGGAAAGAATAAAATTTCCCTTGGTTTAAAGAACCTGCACTCTGTGATGTCAGCTGTCTTACTGTCCTTGTGGGTTATTCTTGAGACAGCAAAGAGCCTCTGCCCCAGGGATTTCAGAGAAAGATGTGCGTGCATGCATGGTCCAGGACATGCACTGGGCTGACTGCTCTTTGCACCTGTGGTTGAGCTCAAGCCACAGAGCAGCCCAGCTCTCTGCATTACACTCTCAGAGCTAAACCCTGGGGCATGGGAAAGTCCGGGGAGGCCTTCTCATACTTCTCTGGGGCTTTGCCAGTGAAGGTCACCATGCATTGCATGGTGCACGGGCAGCCGTCCTAAAAGAGGTGAGTGACGGCAGCTGTTGAGTGTACTTTCTTTTTCTTAATTTTTAAAAAGTGTTCTGTGTTTCTTATTAGTTCACATTGGTCGTACAGTGTAATGCATTTTGCTATGGTACATTTGTAGATAGCACATTGGAATAGTTCCCCCTCGGTTCCTCACCCTGGTCTCACTCCTACCTCCACATAGTTTTGGGATGGGGCGGTTCCATATATGCAATTATTCTGATCATATTCACTCTTCCTGTTGTACCTTCTGACACAGATTTGGGCAGGTCCTGGTTCAGGTTATGTTTTATAAAGTGCACATCTGTGTGCACATGCAAACACATGCACACACGTGCTGCACACAGTGAGTAGGCAGTCACAGACCTCAGGGCAGTGGCACGGCACTGGCTGTAATGACATCAGGCAAAGCATGGCAGGCTTGGTGCTGAACCCCAGTGCACAGGGGTGGGGTCAAACCCTGCATCCTGCTCTGAGCAGACACAGAGTGCACATCCAGCTGCATTGGCAGAGGGGAGGGACTGTGAATGGGAGGACACGCTGGACAGGGACACGTGGCAGATGTACACAGCATCCTATTGAAGCCTAAATAAGTTTCACAGACACGAGCACTTAGGCTTGGAGATTATTTTATGAAAAAAACCCCACAAAATGTCATAACAAAATAATGAGAGAATGACAATAGTTAATACACTGTGTGTCATCTTTGAAGTAGTTACTCAGAGACAAAAAAGATTTTCTCTTACAAAGAAGGTACATAATACCACAAAACTTTCTTTTCAATGAACTAAGAGAAACTAGTAGTATAAATGCAGAGGATTAGTATATATATTAAAATATTTTGATACAGAGGAATAGGTAATTTATTTTCAACCACTTTATTTTAGTGTTTTATTTTTATTATTTTTAATGAGCAAATCACAATTGTCTACATCACTCCTTCCTCCCCACTCCTCCACCTCTTGTGACTACCAGTCTACTCTTGCTGCTATGAGTTTGACTGTTTTAGACTCCACATAGGAGTGAGATCATGCAGTATTTGTCTTTCTGTGCCTAGCTTGTTTCACTTAAGCATGTTGCCTTCCAGGTCTGTCCATGTGGTCACAAATGGCAGAATGTCCTTCTTGATGTGGCTGAATAGTATTCTGTTTTGTTTAAACACACATTTATTCACACTTTCACCTGCTTAGGGACCCTTAGGGTAATTCCATATGTTGGCTCTTGGAGTAATGTTGCAATAAATAGGAAGTGTAAACAACCCCTTGACATTGGTCACTTTGGATTTATACCCACAAGTAGATTGCTTCAGCACGTGGTACTTCCACTGTTAGCTTTTATTAGAACCCTCCATAGTATTTTCCATAAAAATGGTTGCAACAATGTTTCAGAATTTCCTTTTCCCTAACTCCTCATCAACACTTGTTATCTCTTGTGTGTTTTATAGAAAGCACTCTAATAGATGTGAGGTAATACTTCCTTTGGACTTAATTTGCACATCCCTGATGATTAGCAATTCCGAGCATTTTTTATATACCTGTGGATCATTGGTGTGTCTTCTGCTAAGAAATGTCTGTGCAGGTCCTCTGCCCATTTTTCAATCCAGTTATTTGTCTTCTTGCTTTTGCATTGTTAGTATTCCTTATGGATTTCAGATATTAATCTCTTATCAGATGCATGGTTTGCAAATATCTCCTCTCATTCTGTGAGTTGTCTCTTCATTTTGTTAATTGTTTCTTTCACCTGCAGAAGCTTTTCAATTTGATACAATCCCATCATTTATTTTTATTCTTCTTTCCTGTGATTTGGGGGTCTTAGCCATAAAAAAAGTGCAGATATTGTAGTAGAGGCTTTCTTTGGTTTTTCTTGCATTTTTACAACAATGTGTAAAATTTTAATCCACTTTGAGATTATTTTTGGGTATGGTGTGAGGTAAGCATCCAATTTCATTCCTTAGCACGTGGCTAAGCGTTTTCCCAACATCATTCATTTAAGAGACTGCCTTTCCCCCATCGTGGGCATTGGCATCTTCATCTGAAATCAGTTGATCCTAAATGTGTGGCCTTACTTGTGCACTTCCTAATCCTGTTCCACTGGCTGAGGAATCAGTTTTCATGCCAGCATTGCTGCTTTGATGACCATCACTGAATGATACAGTGTGAAATCAGGGGGTGTGATGCTTCCAGCTTTGTTCCTTTTATTTGAGATTGTTCTGGATATTTGAGGTCTCTTGTGGGTCCATATGAATTTAAAGATTATTTTTTCCTCTATTACTGTAAAAAATAACATTAGAAATTTGATCTCTCTCTCTCTCTCTTTCTCTCTCTCTCTCACACACACACACACATACACACACACACCCACCCACACGAGGTCTAACCATGTCCCCTATAAGACCTCCCTTACTAACAATGCCACATGTAAACTGAAAGTGAAGAAATGGAAAAAGATATTCCATTCAAATGCAGACCATAAGAGGTCAGCTATCTTTCCATCAGAAAGAAATAGACTTTGATCTTAGTTGTTTTTTAATCCATTAAGCCAATCTGTCTTTTTTATTTTCTGTAGATAAGTGCTTGCTACTGAAATTTTTACAATTCTTTTTGTGCTAGTTTTAGAGGTCATTTTTCTCTTTCTACCTTTCTTGCTGTCTTTCTCTGTGTTTTGTTGGTTTTCAGTGGTTGTATGCTTTGAATCTTTTTTTATATTTTGTATAATTACCATGATTTCTTGTTTTGTGATTACTATAAGTCTTACATAAAAGTCTTATCCTTTTAACAAACTATTTTAAGCGAATGACAACTTAACTTTAACTGCATACAAAAGCTACTTTCCCTCCCTCCTATCTTTTATGACTTTGATATCAAAATTTATATAGTTTTGTAATTTGTACCTCTTAATTTATTGTAATTATGGCTATTTTTAATAGTTTTGTTTTTATCCTAAAATTGTTTTACATAACACTATTATAGGATTTAAGTAACATGAGTAACACTATGTATTACTTGTACCATTGATTTATTTTATTTTCATATTTTTCTATTATCAGACTTTCATTTCAACTTAAAGAATTCCCTTCAGTAGTTGTTATAAAGTAGCTCGGTGGCGATAACCTCTCTTAGCTTTATCTGTAAAAGTTATTTTTCTCTCATTTCTGAAGGGCAGATTTTCTAGGGAAAATATTCTTGTTTGGCAGATTTTTTTCTTTAGTACTTCAAATTTGTCATCTTTTCTTTACTCTTTCTCGTTCTTCTCCTTGTTGCTCTTCTGCTGGATAATTTCAAGCTCCCCAATCTGATTCATTTTTCTGCATGATCAAGTCTGCTGTTATTTCTACTGGATTTTTTTCAGTTG